GCTTTGATATGACTGTATCAATAAAGAAATGAAACAGTGTGTTTAGCTCTGTTAGAGGGAGGAGACAGACAGAAACTCAGGGTTTGTTTAGAAAACCTGGCAGCAGGTGAGCTTCCCAGAGTCAGTGACCACAGTAACTAACCCAGAGTTTCAGTTACCTCTCTTTCTGTGACTCAAAGACCCAGAGTTTCCCTCATCTCAGGGTTCACTAACAAAACCTGCTTTCTGGATCACACCCCCAGTCACTACAGCACCTCTGGCTCTGTTGATCAGGATGGGGTGCGATGGACAGGCGTAAGTGACGTCACTCCAGGAGGCTGCCGTATTAATGCACCAGGTCATCGGCAGAAGTTACATCTGCCCTCCTGTACAATTAACTGCACCATGTTACACTCAAATTTAACATTTACATTGCAAACAGAATTGGTCCACCGAGATCACCTTATTAAGCAGACTTTGAGTCATTTAACTGATCCCTGACCCTTTGAGCAGGTGCGTGGGCATCAATTAGCGGATGCCTTCTGTGTTAGCTATCATTCAGCTAGCCTGACCCCAAAAATCTCCCTTGCTGGCACTCAGATAATGTCAGGCAGCAAATCCTCGCTAAGCATTGGTGCAACAGCTGGCAACGGGTAGATAGACAGCGGAGAAGTTTCAATAATGGGTCTGGTTACTGGCTTGCATGTTGGCGTAACTGGCTTCAGGCTAGCTATTAACCCTTGGTGTCGTTACCTGACAGGCACCAACGTTAGCTCGCGAGCTAAGCTACCTGTCTAGCTGTTAGCTTGCTATGCGATCTCCGTAAGACAAAACAATCCACTTACTGCCTCTGGACAAGCTCCTCGGCGGTTGGTGGTCCCTGTTGCTGCTGGAATGACTTCAGAGACTCAAAGGCCTTCATCAATTTCTCCATGGTGGCCATTTTAGCAATCAACAGTAAGGAAGCTAACGGTAGCTAGGCTAGCTAATATTTACTATGTGAGCTAACTAGCTAGCACAGTGGGGACAAGTTAGCGCACGGAGAGAGCAAGCGGTGCGTAGTGCGACGAGAGTGTTAACACTGCTCGCGACAGCTACCACCGGCTCTCCGCCTTCTCTTCGTGCAAGATATCTCTTATTCTTTCACAATATTATTCCTAAACGGACAAAATGTTGGTTGATAATAAGCCATCTTTGATGCAGCGTTGCGATCCCCCGACAATCACACCAGGAAGTGGCATATGTGACAGTTGCACAGAAAGGGGAGGGGTGAAACGTCAGCGGCCAATCAGACTGTGACTATATGTTGAGTGACTTGAGAAAGGGCCAATGAGTGACTAAGGTTTTTTTTTCCTTTTGTTGTTATTGTTGCTGTCACGGGACCGCTGTAATCCAGATTGTAATAACACATTTGAGCGACACACATGCTGTAGCTGTGGCTTTTATCCGTGTGCAAGGATAGTTGAGTGGGCGGTGTGTCAGTGAGGAGGCTAATAGAGCTTCCTATGTATCAAAAGCAAGGAATAAAAACACATGCATGGAAATCTAATTTATCTAGCTCTCATCCTCACATGGACAATTATATTACTGAGGTTAAACCCCTGACTAAGTGGAAGATAATTAAAGCCGTAGATGGTAATGCCATATTTGTTGTCACTATAATTTGACAGTAGTACACGAAACTGATAATATGTGAAAAAAAAATGTGTTCCTCTGCCTCCTTGTAGTGCTACTAATGGTATTTTGTGGCCCATGCTGAAAACAGTCAACAATGCACCGCCCATTGTCAGGAGCAAACTTTCTCATTTTAGTCAAGTCAGTTTTACTTTGAGAGTCCATTTAAAAACAACAAATATAGACCAAAGTGCTTCACAAAGAAATAAAAAAACACAGGAATGATCAAACAAAACCGCCATTAATAGGAGAGTGTAAGTACAATTAATAAGAGCATACAATAACTGCACAAGCAACAAAATAAAACAGTGAAAATACACGTGTTAAGCAGTGTTCCTCCTAGTGATAATTAAAGGCTAAAGAAAAGAGATGGGTCTTAAGAAAGGTAGAGGGGGAAGGTCAAACTGTAAGTGGGAGATTATTCCACACTTTAGGACCAACAACTGAAAATGCTCAATCACCTTTTGTTTTTAACTTGGTAGGTGAAATGGAGGGTAGTGATTGGTCACCAGATGTGAGGGGTCGGGAGGTGGAATAGGGAATAAGCAGTTCAGAGATGTAAGCAGCTGTGTGTCCATGCAGCACTTTAAAAACAAATAAAATAATTTTGAAATCAATTCAGTACTTCACAGGTAACCAGTGAAGAGAGGCCAGTACCGGTGTGAGGAAAGGGAAATGCAGTAACAAGATCTGTACTCATATTTGATCAGTGCGGGCTTGACAGTGTGACTGCAGTTCATGAGCAGTTTTGATTGACTGCTGCAACTGAGACTCCTCGGCTCTGATTGGTTGTTTTCGTTCAGGTGTGGTGGATTCTAGAAAATGCCATTAGAAGCACCACAAGGAAGAGGAAGAACATGATTGTTTTTCCACAGATCATCTGTCTCATGCACTACTGTCTGGATTTAGTGACAGTTTGAGCCAAAATGACAAAAAGTTATTCTAATGTAAGTTAGCAACGGTAGCTTTAATGAAGAAAAGACAATCAAACAACAGAAAGAAATCTAAAACTTTGAAAGGAATATTTTCTAATGCAATGACTGGAAGGAATGAAAGGAAGTAGTAGAAAAGGTTGTATTAAAATCTTACCTGCAGGAAATAGCCTGTAATACCAGCAGTGCAGATTCATATTGTGGCTTGGATGTAACACAGGTCTTACCGCATGACACTATTTTTTATTATTTCCTATTTTTTTTTCTGTTTGTGCGTATTTATTCATAAAAAATATATCAACATATGACACAAATAAGTCAAGACACAAGTATTTTTATACAAATGGCAGTGTATTATTTCATAATTACAAATGTCAGATATGGTACAACAACCAGTGATACAACTTGTACAAGAATTAACAATGACTGCAGTGGTTGAACAACATGACTGTACAGATACAAAAAAAGAAGAAAAATCAAGAAGTCCCAGGCCCCATCTGAATGCCAATAATGCATTTGTCATTCCTCCCTTCCTCGAAAATATCACTTATCTGACATATCTGGACAGAAGAGTGTGAAACCCTGGTGAACCTCCAGGCATTTATCGGTGGTTATCCCAAAACTCAAGTGACATCAAGAAACTAAACGTTGCTGGTGAGTGCCATCCCAGTTTTCAGGGACAGGCTCGCCATCGAGGAAAGGAGGAATGCATGTCCTGAATTCAAACAGGGCCAACTCAGCTGGTCACCTTGCCATTTATAAAGTTGTCCTCAGATACCAGTGAGATATGTTGGCACTAGAAGGTCATCATTTACATATACAAGGAACCTGAAGTATTACAAACCGATACATGCTTGAGTAATAAAACATATGTATTTTTTTTAAAACAGGCATTACAATGCACTTAGTGCGGACATTCAAAACCGTTGAGCTGTTTAAAGTTCCTTTATGTGAAGGAATTTCTCTCAGAATGGACGGAATGATAAAGAGGTTGAAAAAAGGCGGGATGTCAGAACTTAGATCGGTAATTGGCACATACAATAAAGGCTGTCAGTCTTTCTTTAGTAAATTATTCCGATAACAAGACAAGTTCGCTTTACTTAATGTTGCTTTTGGTATCATTGGCAAAAAAGTTAAAGACACTTCCTATAGTCATTGTCAAAACACATCATAGTGCAATGAAACTAAACAGAATTTCTTTACTGCTATATGGATGGTATAAGAGTAAAGTTCAAACAATGACAGAGGCATGGGTGGCAAACACAGTTTCATTTCCCTGTGAGAGTGAGTGAATGTGTGTTAGAGCTTAGTTACATGTTAGAAATACATCATTTACAAGGTTTTTGAGGCTAAAGAGCGAAAAGGCTAAAATCTACATATGCAAGAAAAATCAGCTTTAAAATGTGCCTGAGAGCAAAAAAAAATAAATAAATAAAACAAAATAAAATTAAAAAAAGACAAAGACACTCAGAAACTCAAGTGACAACAAGCCAGCAACAGATGCATTCGATTCCTAATTTTTGATAATGGAATGTGCAACAGGGGACATTTTTTTTTAGAACAAGCCAACTCTCCAAATTAGTTAACCAGATGGGGAATTATATGCGTACCATTTCAAATGTAAGCAGTCTTGAATGGTTTGAAATCCAACTGAGTGACATCCAAGTCCCTACGTGACTTCTAACTACTGTATTTTTGTACTTCAATGCATTAGATTGAACAAAAGCTGCATTTGCATACAATGTAATACACATGCACACACACACACGCACACACACAAAGCTAACATGTTCAGATTGGGTATTCACAGCATTAAACCAGGTGGTGGGGAGTAAACAGCAACTGCCTCAAAAACAAAATTCAAAAGCAAAAAAAGGCATCAAATGCCTGAAAAATGCCAAACAATCAGAACATGTTGGAAAATGTACAGAAAATGCATTTGTACACAGTTTGAGTAACTTGGAAGGAAACATTTCTTCTATGATGAAACAAAAGTGCAAAACAGCTGTGGTTCTGCAAGTGTTCCTGTACACAGATGATGGTAGCTCTGCAGGCAGGATACTAATAAACATTATTCCCATGTTCCTCCCTGTCAACACACTACTGTCTCACATCATTCCTACGATAGAACAACATACAGGATTTCAATGGGATTGTTAAAGGCGGGTGCTATTAAGAAATGTTATTTTGATCTAGTACACACACAGCTAAAGCCACTGGATCTAACTGGAGATCTACTAGCAGGATATGTGGCCAACAGGCATCGTGCTATCTATGATCAACAGGCACAGAGGCCAAAGCAGGCTGTATCTTGACTCAGCGCAGAGGCTAATAGCTGCTGACAGCTGAATCAATGGAAGCTAGTTTAATGCAATGGCAATTTGTTATCTAGATGAAGCCCTTGTCAGCTGCAGGTCAGATCTCTGATACAGTGCCACCATCATCCTCATCGTCTGTCTCTGTGTTCCAACTCATTCTTCGGTCAACTTTCTGGTACACTAAAAAATAGGGGTGGCAAATTACTAGGGTATTTCAGGGGGAAGGATTTCTTTACTGGAGACGTCAGGAAAAACAAAGCAAAGAAAAGCCAGGTAGCACAACAAAAGAAAAAAGGATGAGGAATAAAGATAAAAAAAAGTGTTTTGCCTGAGTGAAAAATGTAACAGACATTTACTTAAAAGGGATAGTTCAGATTCTTTGAAGTGAGGTTGTATGGGGTTCTTACTATTAACCATTAACAGTAGAAGCTCTGTAGGGCACTGCTGTGGTTTGGGGTCAGCAACAAAAAGGTATTTTAGCAACCTAAAAAAAAGTCTCACCTAAAAAAATTTGACATTAGTTTAAGTGTACGTTATATTGAGAGTATTTTAAACTGCTTTACCTTTTTTGTCAGATAGCCCAGTCCAACGGACAAGCCGTTAACAAATTCAGTTCCCCATCTATGCTCCTGTCAAAGCCACCAGACTCCACTGACAAAAACAGTCA